TGAGCCCAGGAGTTGGAGGTTGCTGTGAGCTGTGATGCCATGGCACTCTACCCAGGGGGACAGCTTGAGGCTCTCTCAAAAAAAAAAAAAAAAAAAAAATTGAAAGTGTCACACAAGTAAGTGTGACAAATACTTTCCCCTAACCTTGGCTTGTCTTAGTGATATCTACCCATAAGCAAAAGTTTTTAATTTTGATAAAGTCCAATTTACCAATTTTTTTACTTTATGGCTTATGCTTTTTATACTTTAATAAATCTTTGCCCTATCCAAGGTCCATGAAGATCTTCTAGAAAATTTTCTTCTAGAATCTCATGGCTGTACCCCTTACTTTCAGGTCTACAATCCATTTTGATTTTTTTTTTTTTTGCAGTTTTTGGCCGGGGCCGGGCTTGAACCTGCCACTTCCAGTATATGGGGTTGGCGCCCTACTCCTTTGAGCCACAGGCGCCACCCTGAATTAATTATTACATTTGATGTGAGAGGAAAGGGATTTTTACATTTGATGTGAGAGGAAAGGAATATCCAGTTATTTCAGCACCATTCTTGAAAACCCCTGCTCTTTTCCCATACAATCCCAGCCATGTAACTCTAGGTCCACCTCTGACCCCTTACTGTTTAAATCACATTTATTTACCCATCACACCACAGCACCCTGTCTTGATGACCACAGCTCTACAGTAAAGTTGTAAATCAGGTAATGCAAGTCCTCTAACTTTCTTCTCCCCTCTTAAATCATTTTTCTACCCTAGGTTCTCTACATTTCCATTTAAATATTAGAATAAGCTTGCCAATTTCTTCTTTTAAAAAAACCTTCTTGTGGCAGCGCCTGTGACTCAAAGGAGTAGAGCGCTGGCCCCATATGCCGGAGGTGAGGGGTTCAAACCCAGCCCTGACCAAAAACTGCCAAAAAAAAAAAAAAAAAAAAGCCTTCTTGTAGTGTGGCTAGAATTGCATTAAATCTAATCTTATACTTTCACCAACAGTTTTCTGTGAATAGGTCTTATACAACTTGCATTAAATTTATTGATTTTTTTATGCTCTTGTGAATGAAACTTTTATAAATTTCATCTTGGTTGTACATTGGTAATATATAGAAATATAGTTGATTTCTGTGTAGTAATCTTGGATCTTATAACCTTGCTAATTCACTTAGAATTCACCTATTAAGGTATCTTAAGCTATCATCTGAGAATATTTCTTTTCTCATGGTATACCCTTTATTTCACTGATTTCCTGTACAATGTTGACCATAAGTGATGACTTTTACCTTGTTCTTCTTTTCTGAAAGAACTTCTTGATAGTCTTGCCATTAAACATGTTGCTTCTTCACAGATACTTGTCAAGTTGAGGAAGTTTACTCCTATTTCTAGTATTCAGGGAATTCTTACTATGAACAGGCATTGGATTTTGTTAAATGCTTCCTCTGCATCCCTTAAGATGGTCCTGAGGTCTTTATCTATTATCCTATTAACACAGTATATTATAGTTATTATATTATATATATATAACTATATTATATTATATATATATATAAAACTATATATATTATAGTTATTCAGTTGTTTAGACAACTCCGTATTCTGGAATAAACCTCTCTGGTTAAGGTGTATCAACCTTTATTGACACAGTGCTGGATTCGACTTGTTAAGGTTTGTTTCTTTGTTTGTATTTATCTGTAGTTTTTTTGAATGTCCTTATCTAGCTTTCACATCAGGGTAACACCAAGCTCATAAAACAAATTGGTATACATGTGTTTTTTAGTCACAGAGGTTATGAAAAATAGGAATTATTTCTTCCTTAAATGTTGGACTAGAAGGTGGGGTTGGCCGGGACTTTTTTTTTTTTTTTTTGCAGTTTTTGGCCAGGGCTGGGTTTGAACCCGCCAACTCCAGCATATGAGGCTGGCGCCCTATAACTTTGAGCCATAGGCACCGCCCTAGCCTGGACTTTTTATTTGAGGAAGTTACAAATTACTAATTCAATTTCTTTACTTGATGTAGCTCTACTTAGGTTTTCTATTTTTCCCAGATGCTTTTGGTAATTTGTCTTGTGAGGCATTTGTCCCTTTCATCTAAGTCATTACATTTACTGGCATGAAGTTGCTCATGATACTGCCTTATTGTCTTTTAATGTTTATAGAATATACATTAATGCCTCTTCTTTCATTCCTGACATTGATAATCTACTTTCCATTTTTTAAAAAAATCAATCCAGCTAAAGATGTATCAACTTGTTGATCTCTTTACAGAACCAGTTTTGCTTTCATTGATTTTCCCTAATGCTTATCCTGTTTCTATTTCAGTGACTTCCACTCTGATATTTATTATTTTCTTCCTTCTTACTTTGTTGGTTTTTTTTTTTTTTTTGAGACGGAGCCTCAAGCTATCTCCCTGGGTAGAGTCCCATGGCATCACGCTCACAGCAACCTCCAACTCCTGGGCTCAAGTGAGTCTCGTGCCTCAGCCTCCCAAGCAGCTGGGACCACAGGCGCCCACCACAACACCTGGCCATTTTTTGGTGGCAGACATCATTGTTGTTTGGCGGCGCGGGCTGGGGATTCGAACCCGCCACCTTAGGTGTATGTGGCTGGCGCCTTAGCTGCTTGAGCCACAGGTGCCGAGCCCCTTCTTACTTTAAGCTTGGGTTAAATGTACTTTTCCTTCCAGGTGCATAAGGTAAAACTTTAAAACAATGATCTGAAGCCATTCTTCCGATTGAGCCTTTTATTTATTTATTTTATAGGCAGGGTCTTGCTGTGTTGCCCAGGCTGAGTGCAGTGCCTACTCCCAGGCATCATCGCTATGCACTGCGGCCTTGAGCTCCTGGTCCCAAAGGTCCTCCCACCTTAGCCTCTCAAGTAGCAGGGATGACAAGCATGTGCCACTGCACACACAGCTAATTGAGCCTTTATAGCTATAAACGACACTCTAAGTGTCATTTCATCATATTCAGTTCAAGCATTCTCCAATTTCTTCTTTGATCAATGAGTGACTTATTAGTAGGCTGATTAATTTTGGAGATTTTTCACGGTTATCAATTTTTAATTTAACTCAGTTATGATTAGAAAACATACTGTATATGAGTTCAATTCTTTTAAATTAATAAATTTAAGACTTAAAGACTTGCCTTATAACCCAGCAAATGGTCTACCCCTGGTGAACGTGCAATACCAAATAACACCAGCTGTTCCTGGGTGAAATGTTCCATAAATATCAGTTAGGACAAGATGGCTATGAGTGCTGCTCAAGTCTTTTACATCCTCACTGCTTCTCTATCCACATGTCCTATCAGTTACTGCCCTTGATGACCAGCCTATTTCCCCTTTCACTCCGTCAGTGTTTGCTTCGTGTATTTTAAGGCTGTTTTTAGATGAGTATGATCTATTATTACAGAAGAATCTTTTCCTAGTAATAATCCTTACTTAAAAGTCTATTTTGAATGATATTAATACAGAATTCAACTCTCTAATGCTATTTTCATAGCATACCTAACCCATTATTTTATTTTCAGCCTATTTGTGCGTTTGAATATAAAGTGGGTCTCCTGAAGACAGCAGACACATAGATGGACTGTTTTTTCCTCATCTTATAACCTGCCTTTAGGCTGGAGTGTGTGGCCCATTTCCACTTCACATAACTA